TATCATCCATACATCTTAACCAATAAACAACGAATTTGTTGTATCATCCATACATCTTAACCAATAAACAACGAATTTGTTGTATCATCCATACATCTTAACCAATAAACAATGGATTTGTTGTATCATTCATACATCTTGACCAATAGATGGTACACACTGGTAAATTAACCAATTTATACTGATCAAAAGATGGTACGCACTGGTAAAGTAACTGGTTCATACTGATAAATAGATGGTACACACTAATAAATCAACTGGTTCATACTGGTAACTAGATGGTACACACTGATAATGTAACTGGTTCATACTTATAAATAAATGGTACACACTGGTAAAGTAACCGATTCATACTGATAAATAGATGGTACACATTGGTAAAGTAACCGATTCATACTGATAAATAAGTGGTACACACTGGTAAAGCAGACAATATATACAGATAAAGCAAATGGAAAACTATAATAAAATAGATGGTACACACTGATAATAAAGGTATTACATATTGATAAAGAAGGTATTACACATTGGTAAAGTAGATATAACATACTGATAAACTGGGATATACTGATAAAGCAGATGATGTGGCAAATTTAAATCATTTAAATTTTTCATCTTGAAATAAATTATTTCAAATATTTAACTCTGATTTTAGTCTATTCATTAATTATTTCAAACACTTTTCTTCATCAGGATATCTCTACGCATTCTCTTGTATCTATACATTATAAGGCTTAAACTTGTGCCCATTCGGTTGAGTTGAATGATTTAAAAGTTCATATTAATATTCTATTGAGTTGAATGATTTAAAAGTTTATATTAACCTCCGGTTGAGTTGAATGATTTAAAAGTTTATATTAACATTCTATTGAGTTGAATGATTTAAAAGTCCAAAAGAACGATGAATTGAGTTGAATGATTTAAAAGTTTATATTAACCTCCGTAACTTTCGATCTTTTGTCATTTCAACTTCCTCCGAAAAACTACCTTTAATATAAACTTTTAAATCATTCAACTCAATTCATCGTTCTTTTGGACTTTCTAAATCAAGGATAATCAAGAGAAGTTTTAATGTTATCATTCTGTTTTATAATCACTATATTAATCAGTACTTTACGACTTCAATCTATAACACATACGGGGTGTTCTTACCTTTGATTCTTCTGCTCTCAACCTATCAACTTTTAAACTAAACCCTGACTGAGTCTCTCTTCGTATAGAAGGGTGTTAAGTACAGCTATGCTATCCAATGAAACTTAATACAAAGTTCTAGGAATACCATTTTTGAACCGGTCTGGCGGATGTCAGCACCTAGCAACATAGAACAAATAATTATTGTGTTTAAACACCTGTCCACAAGCTGAATGAACTAATAAAGAATTGAGCAGCGAGCGTCATCCTGGATAAGCTGATTTGTGCGAAGAGTCAGTATTTAACGCAGGAAGCAGTACAGTCGCGTGCAGCTCTATTTGTCCTTTCAGGGGTATTTTCAATGTCCAGGAAGGAGGTTGATCATTAATCGTACACAATGATTGTAAGCTAAAGCTATTTTTTACAAACATATATATATATATATATTGCTGCAACTGTTAATTAGGTTAGCATTGAGAAGAACACTAAATAATCTTTTTAAAACACGAAAATATATCACCTTCTTTTAGAGTTTTCTACTATTTTGAAAGTTGTTTTGGTTTTTAAGATGACTTTGGGTAAAGAATATAATACTAAGAATCGTTGGCAGATACTTTTTGTAATAGTTGACTGATGTATTGAAAACTTGTGCAGAAGAACGTGGATTTAGTTGTTTAATGTATTCAAAACTTATACAAAAGAACGTAGATTAAGTTGTTTAATGTATTCAAAACTTGTGCAAAAGAACGTAGACTTAGTTGTTCAATATATTTAAAACTTATACAAAAGAACGTAGATTAAGTTGTTTAATGTATTCAAAACTTGTACAAAAGAACGTAGATTAAGTTGTTTAATGTATTCAAAACTTGTACAAAAGAACGTAGATTAAGTTGTTTAATGTATTCAAAACTTGTGCAAAAAAACGTAGACTTAGTTGTTCAATATATTTAAAACTTATACAAAAGAACGTAGATTAAGTTGTTTAATGTATTCAAAACTTGTACAAAAGAACGTAGATTAAGTTGTTTAATGTATTCAAAACTTGTGCACAAGAACGTAGACTTAGTTGTTTAATGTATTCAAACTTATGCAAAAGAACGTAGACTTAGTTGTTCAATATATTTAAAATTTATAGAAAAGAACGTAGATTTAGTTGTTTAATATATTTAAAACTTATACAGAAGAACGTAGATTAAGTTGTTTAATGTATTCAAAACTTGTGCACAAGAACGTAGACTTAGTTGTTTAATATATTTAAAACTTATGCAAAAGAAAGTAGACTTAGTTGTTTAATGTATTTAAAAGTTATGTAAAAGAACGTAGACTTAGTTGTTTAATATATTTAAAAGTTATGTAAAAGAACGTAGACTTAGTTGTTTAATGTATTTAAAAGTTATGTAAAAGAACGTAGACTTAGTTGTTTAATGTATTTAAAAGTTATGTAAAAGAACGTAGACTTAGTTGTTTAATGTATTCAAAACATTTTCCCAAAAACAGTTAGTCTGAATACTTCTTGAACTCTGTATAATGATAACGCATTTTATTTTTAATTCCAGTAAAAGTGGTCGTTTTGGTAAAGATTAGAATCGTTTATAGTGAATAAAAGTGATAAATGTTCGACATAAATTAAAGCTTAACGCGTTTGTACGAAGTTATTACAGTAAACATTCTGATGAACCAAATATAAAACGACATACAAAGTTGAAATAAAATATCATAAGTGTGATTTAAAGATTAGAATTCACTCTTGAACCTTTCTTAGTTTCATTTTGAAGTTGAAGACTTTATAAGCTCAGACACGTAGCGGTGGGAGATTAATTATAATTATTATCTATCAATTTACATCATTATATTCTTCCTTCAGCTAACGTGATTATATCATGCTAGCACGTTGATTCTCATTACTTCCTTCAGTTGGTATGTCTGTTACATACCTGCAAGATGATTCTCGTCACTAGTTTCTTCAGTTGGTCTGTATATTACATACCAACAAGATGATTCTCGTCACTAGTTCCTTAAGTTGGTCTGTCTGTTACATACCAGTAAGATGATTCTCGTCACTAGTTCCTTCAGTTGGTCTGTATATTACATACCAACAAGATGATTCTCGTCACTAGTTCCTTCAGTTGGTCTGTCTGTTACATACCAACAACATGATTCTCGTCACAACTTCCTTCAGTTGGTCTATCTGCTACATACCAGCAAGATGGTTCTCGTCACAAGTTCCTAAAGTTGGTCTATATATTACATACCAACAAGATGATTCTCGTCACTAGTTCCTTCAGTTGGTCTATATATTACATACCAGCAAGATGATTCTCGTCACTAGTTCCTTCAGTTGGTCTGTCTGTTACATACCACCAAGATGATTCTCGTCACTGGTTCCTTCAGTTGGTCTGTCTGTTACATACCAACAACATGATTCTCGTCACTAGTTTCTTCAGTTGGTCTGTCTGTTACATACCAACAAGATGATTCTCGTCACAACTTCCTTCAGTTGGTCTGTATATTACATACCAGTAAGATTATTCTCGTCACAACTTCCTTCAGTTGGTCTGTATATCACATACCAACAACATGATTCTCGTCACCACTTCCTTCAGTTGGTCTGTCTGTTACATACCAGTAAGATGATTCTCGTCACTAGTTCCTTAAGTTGGTCTGTCTGTTACATACCAACAAGACGATTCTCGTCACAAGTTCCTAAAGTTGGTCTATATATTACATACCAGTAAGATGATTCTCGTCACTAGTTCCTTAAGTTGGTCTGTCTGTTACATACCAACAAGACGATTCTCGTCACAAGTTCCTAAAGTTGGTCTATATATTACATACCAGTAAGATGATTCTCGTCACTAGTTCCTTCAGTTGGTCTATATATTACATACCGGTAAGATGATTCTCGTCACTAATTCCTTCAGTTGGTCTGTATATTACATACCAACAACATGATTCTCGTCACCACTTCCTTCAGTTGGTCTGTCTGTTACATACCAGTAAGATGATTCTCGTTACTAGTTCCTTCAGTTGGTCTATATATTACATACCAGTAAGATGATTCTCGTCACTAGTTCCTTCAGTTGGTCTATATATTACATACCAGTAAGATGATTCTCGTCACTAGTTCCTTCAGTTGGTCTGTATATTACATACCAGTAAGATGATTCTCGTCACTAGTTCCTTCAGTTGGTCTATATATTACATACCAGTAAGATGATTCTCGTCACTAGTTCCTTCAGTTGGTCTGTATATTACATACC